AATATTAATGTCGACATCTTTTTCCGGTTAAAATTTTCAATTTTGACGAATCATAAACCTTCCCCATGGGGTCATGTGGGTTGCCATACAAAATTGCGCCCGATCGGTTCAGCCGCGTTGACGTTTATTGGGTAAAAATGGACAGACAAGCAAAATATTTATAGATTAACCACCAAAAATATCCTTAAAACATGTTTTTGTTTTGTTTATTGTTTAGCGTACTTAATGTGCATAGTAACTATTTTTACTGTTCTATTTTCGAGGGATTTCTAATTTTGAAAACAAGAGAAGATGTTTACTTGAGATAATGTGAAGATAAACAGAGCAAAAAACTGTTATGAAACTCTATAATGGATTTTTACCAAGTATATAATCACGTTAGGTTACTCTTTTTCCGAAGGAGATGGGGGGGNGAACCCAGATATCCATGCTGTTGTTTTTGAAATTCACATAAACAATGTTTTAAGACAGCTAAACGAAAATATTTACAAAATTTCTCAAAAGTCTTTAAAAATTGAATAAAATATTCTTTAACCATTTGTCTCTACAGTACATACATAGTTTTAAATGTTAAATTAGAAATGTCGAGTGCTAATAAAAATGTGCAAAAAATCGGACATCGGATCAAAATTGAGGCTCGGACATCAAATAACCAACTTTTCGAGTGTCGGCTTACTTACAATTTGAATTAAACATCTTGCTATTTATTTAATTTTTACAATTCTTCTTATTTTAAGAACACTATTCCTTTCAACATGAAAGAAATAAAACTACAGACAAAAATAATTTATTAAATCTTTCTTCATTCTTTAAATTCTTTTTGGAAAAATGTAAGTTTATTTTGTTATAAAACTGTGTTATTAGTCGACTAAAATGTAAGTTTATTTTGTTATAAAACTGTGTTATTAGTCGACTAAAATGTAAGTTTATTTTGTTATAAAACTGTGTTATTAGTCGACTAAAAGAGACTGACAAACAAATAAATACAAAGTAAAAATTTTCTTACTTGTTTTACTCTTTTAGTTTAAATTTTCAAAAATTCCCTTTACCATGGTTTTAAGTTTTAAATACATAGTTTAGGTTCTCTGGTGGATTGTTGAGACCGCATAATCTTCTAATCATAAACAAGTCCAGAGATGGAAACTATCCTAAACCTTGAACACTTGATCTCGATATCCAATGTAGGCATTTTTATAATAAATGCTAGATGCCGCAATTAAAAATATCCCTGCAGGGCTATGATCACCACAGGATGTCGAGGAGGAATTAAATCAATCCGTAGATCTGAATAAGATGTAGATCAATGGTTGATCCCGAGATTCCCGACTAAAAAAGTTCTGACTAGGATATATTTTTACTCCGGGTACTCTGATGTACTGTATGATTCACCGACTATTAATGGTACTCGCATGCTCCATGGAGTAAGTGGATGAATAATGAACCTCCACCAGGTTCAGTTTAAATATATAAAAAGTTAATTAAATTCATTAGAACTTTACTACAGATACATGCTCCGCCCAAACCCACAATTTATAGCAGACTCAACTATAGTATCGACAAAAATTTTCTTACTTTCAAAAGGAATTGGGTTTTTGCCACAAACTCTGATTTCCTTATCTTTTTTCCTTTGTTACACAAAGTCGTAGACCTTAGATATTTCAAACTATAAATTCTTCTAGATCAAATAATCTAAGTTTGAAATATTAAAGGTTTGCATCATTAGGTTGCATATATATTGGGATCCGAAGATTTGAGTTTGTGGCAAAAACTCAATACCTTAAATATGATTTTAGGTCATGTCATGTCTTTTCTTGTTTCTTTTACCGTTAGGAAATAAATCTACTTTATTATTTTCTCTTCTCTTTGTACAGAGAGAACCAGAAAACTACAGTATATGAAGACGACATTGAAGTAATATTTCAAGTGTATTTGTTGTTTTTAAAAGCAAATAATTTTACTAGTAGCTTAAAACCCAATAATAAAGTGAACAGCACATTGGACTATTTAAAATCATAACTTGAGTCTAACAAATATCTTCAAGTTACATAGTTTTCTGATTCTCACTGTAACTTAAAAACAGTCAAAATTTAGCAAATTTTTAAGTTTTAATGATTTCCAATTATTAAAATTTGACCGGCCTTAAACCTGTCCAGTGGCCGGGGTCATGCCTATTCGGTTCATTTTGAACACACCGGGGCACTAACAGACAAGCAAATTCATTTTATGGTATATTTTAACTTTCGTCAGGCCCCGCAGCAGCTCGAGGTTGTTCAGTTTATACTTTTAAAAAGTTTCAAAAGAATAATTAGATTAAAGCTTGTGAAGCGTTCATTATTTCATCAAAATACAATGTTTTTATCCAACTTTTTTCTTTATTTTTCAATGAAAGAGGATATCAAGTTTACTGAGCTCACTAGGTGGAGTACCCAGCGTTGCCCTTGTATATATTTGTATTCACAGTCATAGTTACTCTCGCCGTTTACCAGCGCTTGGTTTTAAATTAGGACTTTATGATTATGAAGCGAATAAAAAGTTTTTCTAGCTTATGTCACCCACGGGTTTCCATAAAAATTACAGACAATTAAGTCCTGTCATTCAACTGCAGCTATACCTAATATTTATAAGCAAAAGGCTTTATATTACAAAATATTGAAAAGTTCTGATACAGTTCAAATAAAATTTACTGGACATTCTTAAATCCTTTATTCTCTTTTCCTCGGCGCGGTTATGTGAGTTTATAAGAAACTTTTCTTTCATATTTTCATTGAAATTATAAAAAAATGGCAACAAAACAAATAAACAAAACAAATAAATGAAAATTATAACTAATTTTTAAAAAGCATTGTTTAAAAATAATTGTTACTTTGATTTCAAATCTTATTAAAATTATTTCTTTAAATCTTTATAATTTCGATGTCACCATCAAATGTTTTAACAAACTTTAAAATGTGTCCCAATACCTGAATGAATACTTACAAAATCTGCAGAAAAGAATAGAAGACGACATGAAATTCTGGTGGATTTCTTGGTGGTATTACCCTCGTTACCCTGATAGAATCTTCGGTTATTTTAAATATTGTTGACTTTTATTATTTCAAAATGGCGAAAAAGAATTTGATTGACGACTTTATAATCTTTTTCGAATATTCAGACTTAGATCTGGTCTATTATAAAACCAAAAGTTAGCATAAAACATTCATATTTTTAAGTCGATATTAAGTAAGTATACCACATTTCGGAAAGCTTTAGGCGTCGAATAATCATATTTTCATGTACCGTCCTAAATTCAATATTAAATCAAATCAGAAATTTTTAATATCGTTACTTAATTCTCATATTTAATTCCCAAAAATGAATGCACTGTCATTTTAATAAACCAAAATTAAATTTAGTACTTGTGCATCAATTTATCAATTTAAAATAATTTTGATTAATAAAATATCAAATTTAAAATATTACTTAATTTGTTCACGTTACTGAGAAAATTTAAAATTTGTCAAGGATTCCAATTTTCTGTTCATTTTGTACGGTATTTAAGATGTACGACGAGTGCTGTATTTTATTAATTGATAAAATAAACTGTTCCGCGTATACAATAACCTATTTTGAATATTTCTTATAGAAAAGGAGTAACCGTCTGCAAAGCATGCGTAATCATATGGTAGGGCTGGCCGCGTCAGTTGTCTCTCCCTTCTATTCTGTACTCCTTGGTATATGCTTATCGTTCACATTTCATTATCTAATGCATGTACACTTTTGTTAACCATTAATTTTAAGACCTCTGCAAAATGTTGTCTTCAACTCGAATCTCCTCTCGGAGACAGCCAAACCAAATTTTCAGCCCGCAATTCCCTTTGTACTCCATCCCACGGAGCTTAAAATATTTTCGTTATTGTGAAATCATTAAAGTTAAGCAAGAATATTTTCATAAGAAGCATTAGTGAATTTCGTTAAATATTCAACTGTAATTTTTCAGAAGTTTAAAAAAAGTATTTCAATACTGATCAACAATAAGTCTCCCCCGATCACAACTTAATAATTCGTAAGATTTTTTCTATTATTAATATTCATTATAACATTGTACAAGTAACCATGACCTATAATTTATGTTATTTTTTAGGAAATAAAGATTTTGTTATCGAATTTCTGAGACGGGGTTACTCTGTTGTGTGTATTTGTGCGGCCTATCGGGAAAGAATTGTCCGGGGAAAATAAACATCCCCCACCAGAATCCTAACTGGCCTATTATCCTGATTTGTCTAGCGTGTTGCTGTTTTCCGTCAACAACTTTACAGTGTATACACTGTACACAATGATTTAATGATTCGGTCCTTTTCCCTTTAAGCCTTTACTTTCGATCCCAATTTTACCAATCAAATAGAATTTTTTTGTTATTTCCCTTTTTGTACTATTTATGAAACTATTGTGCACTTTATCGTTCTTACTCACTTTATGGTGAAGTTTATTATTGACCTGCTATAAAGTAAAATTTGCTGTATATTATAGCAACATGCTATATTAAAGTAATCATCGTACTATAATGTAAAATTAGCTGTATATTATAGCACAGTGCTATAAAGTAATCATCGTGCTATAATGTAAAATTAGCTGTATATTATAGCACAGTGCTATAAAGTAATCATCGTGCTATAATGTAAAATTAGCTGTATATAATAGCAACATGCTATATTAAAGTAATAATCGTGCTATAAAGTAAAATTAGTTGTATATTATAGCACAGTGCTATAAAGTTTCAAAATGAAATTAACTTTAAATTATTATTTATGCTTTGCTAAAAGATTGTTAAAAGATTTTAGGCCAAAAAGCGAATTGAATTCCAATTGAAGAAACCAAACAAATCTCTTGTTAGTTCAGGTTGTGTGCTGTATTTAAAAGAAATTTAATTTAAACACATTAAAATAAGGTTCAAGACTTAAAAGATAAAAATATAGTATTTCTTACTCCAAACATTGAATTTATAACACAACAATATCTGCATATAAAACTAATAAATAACTATTTTTATTCTGATTCCATTTTATTTATGTTCTACGAACAAGAAATTTATAAATGCGGTTGCAATTAAAGAATTCTTGGTATTGTGGGTGCCTCAAGAACCAATAGAAGAATTTAATGGACGAAGCAGTTAAACCAGCCGTAACCAGGATGACTACTTCATTCATTCATAAAGGAGTTGAGTTTTGCCACAAACTCTGATTTTCTAATCACTATATCTTTAGAACCAAATGTTGCAGACCTTAGATATTTCAAATATAAATTCTGAATATTTAAAATATCAAAGGTTTACAACATCGGGTTCTAAAGATATTGAGGTTTAAATATTTGATTTTGTTCCAAATACTCAATTCCTTAGTATCTCAAATTTAATGGTTTTTCTTGAATGTTGCAATATTCTTTCGGACCTAAAACATTTTAAATTATTAGGAAAATAATAAATACAATAATAACAATAATAATAAAAATAATAATAATAATACTGAACTATACAAATGTATTATACTTGTATCATACTTCTGTACAATTTTTAATGTACTAAGCTACACCTGTTCCCTAATGATGTACTTTACTACTGTACTGTGCTGCTGTACTGTTCCACTGTACTGTACTGTACTGTACTGAACTGTACTACTGTACTGTACTGCTGTACTGTACTACAGTACTGTACTACTGTACTGTACTACTGTACTGCACTACTGAACTGTACTACTGTACTGTATTACTGAACTGTACTACTGTACTGTACTACAGTACTGTACTACAGTACTTTACTACTGTACTGTACTACTGTACTGTACTACTGTACTGTACTACTGTACAGTACTTCTGTACTGTACTACTGTATTGTACTACTGTACTGTACTACTGTACTGTACTACTGTACTGTACTACTGTACTGTACTACTGAACTGTACTACTGTACTGTATTACTGAACTGTACTATTGTACTGTACCTGTACCATACACTCCTGATAGAATTGTTTCTTGTATCCAAAGAAGAAGAGAACTTCCAGAAGAACAAACAAAGGTGCTGTGATGAAAGCCTAAAAATACAAAATAACAACTTATCACTCGCCACAAAACTCTAAAACTTTATCTTTGCAACCTAATGGTGTAAGTCTTCAACATATCAAACAAGAATTCATATCTTGAAATATCAAGGATCTACTTTTTGATCAGTTCTTTAACAATCATCAGTATAGCTCGATCATCATAGCAATGATAATTATTACGTACTAACTAATGAGACCGGACCGACTTTGAAGTGCTGCCTGATCTTTACTTTTTACCATTTTCAAATTTGTAAACCTGGGTATAATAAACTTTTCAAAAACTTGGTCGGCAAAAGTAACATTTTAGATGATCGTAATATTCAATTTTGAGATTTTTTTAATGAGAAAATAAAACCTTTTTTTAGCTTTTCCAACTGATAAGTGGCATTGAAAATCCTAATTAAAGTTTATTTTAGCTTATTTTAAAACTTTAGAAAATCCAAAAAAAAAATCTAAGTTTTTACTTCCGCATGTTTGATAAGATTAAAGGCCTACAATCTGCATGTTACCAGAAATAAAAATAGTGAAAAAAAACTTTTTTCATTTGACTTACTAGCTGCAGTGCCCGGCGTTGCCCGTGGAATTTTAGAAACACTCGAAAATTTATTTTTTATTTTTTGAAGAAAAAAAAATTCCTATTTTGAAAGAAACAAAATCGAATTTTTAGCCAATTTGGTCCAGCAGCCGCTTGGACAGCATATAGCTAACATACAAATATACAAATATATATATCTATATGAGCGAAGATAAATTGACTATAAGCGTTAGCCATTAGACCACAGTGTAGATTAAAACCCTATTCATTAATTTCCACCTCTGAATATTATTTATTACTAAAGGAATTGAGTCTTTGCATGCCACAAACTCAAATTTCTAATCCCTATATCTTAACGTTCTGAGAGTGTAAACCTTTGACATTTCAAGCTTAAATTTTTGTATCTATCCGAATTTATAGTCTATGACATTGGATTGCAAAGATACAGGGATAGGAGTTTGTGGCAAAGACTCAATTTCTTCAGTAATGGATTCATTGTATATTATTTTTGGTGGGAGAATGAATACAAATTCTGCGAACGTAAATTCTGTACTTACTTATTAGGTAATTATGTTTTCATAATGGTTGAAACTTCGGAAAACAGGATGGATTTGATTTTATAAGAAATCCGAAATCCATAAATCCAAATATTGAACAGAGAATTCTTATAGATATTTCCAAAAAGTACTAAATTCACTTTGAATATTAGTTTCTGAAATGGTTTCCAGATCCTAATTTAAATATCGTCTCTAGTTTGATTTTAAATATAAAAAATCTTTTCTCAAAATGTATTTGTCAATTTCTTCAACTCTAGGTGAAAATAACAGAAAAAGAAAATCCGGGAAATATAACTTTCTCATTATTTCTCTGAATACCGATAATGATCAAAATTTTACTCTTCAGGAAAAACGCAAAACATTTATTTGTCATGTATCTAAAACAATTTAAAAATAATCACTTGCACAGAAAGAACTATAGATCATTTAAGATCAATTTTGACCGGCAAGTTTTTTTTTATAAAATGAACTTTTTAGTGCAAGCAGTAAATGAAGATCTTTTGTAGAGAGTAAAATCTTTTTTTAAGAAAAAAAGGAATAAAGTTTTATCGATTAATTAAGTGAATTTTATTTTGTAATTTTTACTTTATTTTAAATTTAGAAACGCGCTTTTACTTCTCTTAAGTTCATTTGAGTCTCGATAACTCATGTTAACTCTCGACTCTATAACTCTCGTTAACTCTCGTTAACTCCCTTTAACCCTCTGTGACTCTCTTTATCTCTCATTAACTCCCTTTAACTCTCTTCAATTCTATTTAACTCCCTTAAACTCCCCATAACTCCCTTTAACTCAATTCAACTTCCCTTAACTCAATTCTACTCCCTTTTACCCCCTTTGAACTCCCCTAACCTGGTCCCATGAGTCGAGGAGTGCAGGAGCACGTTTCTCAAAGACTCCATGCCCAATAAACTGTAATATCCACATAGTAACATGGAACAGTAATACAGCCTAAATAATAAATATGGAATAATAAGATGAATTCGAATATAAATCAAAACCTCCTGAACAACTGAACATTAGAAAGTCTTATCAGATGCAGGTAAAATTGGTGGTTGACAAAGAACAAGCACAAACTAATAAATGCCACTTCTTCTCTATTATCTGTGTAATCGGTACAAATGGTTTCCCTATCTATATACTTTGCTTGTCTGCCTGTTTGTCAAAACGGCTGAACCGATCGGGCCAAAATTTTGTGTGGGAACTTACATGACCACGGGGAAGGTTTATGGAAAATCAAAATTTCAAAAATAATCCAACAAAATTCGATTTTCATTAAATTTTGAAAATCCACGAAAGGAATTGAGTCTTTGCCACAAACTCTGAATTTATAATCCCTATGTCTTTAAAACCCAATGTCGTACATCTTTCATATTTAAAACTTATGTCATTTGATTTAACAGAATTCATAGTTTGAAATATCCAAGGTCTACGACATTGGAATCCAAAGATATACGGTTTGGAAAAGTAGAGTTTGTGGCAAAGACTCAATTCCTTTCTTTATAATATCCGAAAACTTTCTTTTAGTGTTTCACAATTATATATATAAAGAGAAAATGTTAACAAGCCTGGTCTACATATATACTTTGCTTGTCTTTCTGTCTATCTGTCCGTGTGTATCCAATCGTCAAAACGACTGAACAGATCGGGCCCACATTATGTGTGGGACCTCACAAGACCCCGTAAAAGGTTTATGTAACATTCAAATTGAAAAAACAAATACAATTCTTGGAAAATGGAAGGATTTTTTTTTGAAATTGCGCCAAAAGAAAAATCCGCCAAATTTGAAAATTATTTAAAATGGCTGACTTTAAGATCAGCAGTTGAAAGATAAAATTATGTACAGGAAAGGGGGCGCGAAGCGCTCTAAAACCCAAGTAGCTTATATTCCAAAAACCAGGAATAAAGATAAAGAATGGAAACCTGCCACAGAGGCCATCCACCCAGGGTACTAGTTGTATTCACTAGAGTTCCTGTTCCTAGGTATATTCCAACCATGAGAGCAGCTCCTAAACCTAGATATACAACATGAGAGCAGCTCCTAAACCTAGATATACAACATGAGAACAGCTCCTAAACCTAGATATACAACATGAGAACAGCTCCTAAACCTAGATATACAACATGAGAACAGCTCCTAAACCTCGATAAACTGCATGATAACAGCTCCTAAACCTCGATAAACTGCATGATAACAGCTCCTAAACCTAGATATACAACAATATAACGGCTCCCAAACATGAGAGCAGCTCCTAGCCTAGATATTTACTGCACTTTAATATAGCATTCACCTAATCAATGAACAGCTTTAAATCTAGATGTAAAATAAGTAGTTTAGAATCTAGATGTAAAATAAGTAGTTTAGAATCTAGATGTAAAATAAGTAGTTTAGAATCTAGATGTAAAATAAGTAGTTTAGAATGGGGATTATTTATGTCAAAAAAGATTTAAGTCCTTTTCTATAACCAACATTAATACTGATCACCATAAAAAAAATGTTATACATTTTACATTGAGAAGCTTGAAAAGGATTCAGGTTTGTACCCACAAGAATTAAAGCATATTGCAGGAGATTCCGGTATGAAAAGAAAATTTTGCTAAAAAAGAAAAAAGAACTAAGTAGAAAGAATCCATTTAAATTTTCTTCATTCATGGTCGCTGGTACCATTAATATCTGAGAACTACACATTTATCAAATAAAAATTAAAAGGTGGGAGAACATTTTTTACTGGGAAGAATATTAAAACTTTAATAATAATTTATTTAATACAGTGATAGGCGATTGTATCATAACAATGCAGACGACATTTTATTTAGGTTTTGATTTTTTACTTTTTTTTAAACTACAAGTTTAAAAGTAATCAAAGAGAAGCTTTTTTAATCGACAGCTCCTCTTTGTTTCCATGTTTTTATGTATCCATGCTGTTTACAAGCTTGATAAAAATCAAAATCGAAGTCGAAAGTCGTCTTCATTGTATTGATATATGCGACGACGACTGTATGACGAGGGGAGGAAGGCCAGCCACAACAACTACTCGTCCGAGCTACATTCTCCTCATTTTAAAAAATAATATTGGAAGGACGAGGATTTAGAGGTGGCTCGGACGAGAAAATGAGGAGAATGTGGCTCGAACTAGAAATTGTTGTGGCTGGCCTTCCTCCCCTCGTATGACACTTAAAGAACAAATGTATTTAACGCATGTTCAGTTTTTTATATCAAAATATTGGTATTTGAAATAATTGTTTAATGATTTGATGTATTTACCTCCTGCTAAAGGATCCATGAGAAGGTATGCTATCACGTATATCAGGGTTGTGAGAGCAGCGAAGTTGAGGTGTATATGCTCGCACCAGGAGCTAACCATGGCCGGGGTAGATACCAGGGACGGAGTAAACTTTAATACAAATGGTTTTGAAGAAAACCGTGAAATTCACAGGGTGAGGATTGAGAAAACTTTTCAAATATAACTTTGACTTTTTAACTTCAATGAAAGAATAAAGGTTTTTAGTGTGGATTTGCCCCCCTGTAAAGCAGTTTCAAATGATGATCATCTATTTATTTTAAATGATCAACTAATTTTCAGCAAAATTATTATTATTTGTTTTGTATTATTTTAGGTTAGGTTAAGGCAATTTCTGGGCCGAGTTCTATGGCTCGGACAGGCTAGGGGACCGAGCGGCGCGGCTAGGACAGGCTATTGGGCCAAGCGCCGCGGCTAGGACAGGTTTCGGGGCCGGGCGCTGCGGCCACATGACTAATTATATTCATGCGTTACAAATTAGGTGCATGTAAAAAATTGATAGGAGGGGGGGTCCAAAAATCGTTTACTAGGAACTTTTCCCATCATTAATAAACAGTTCTGGAGGATAAGTATTAAGACATTTTTTTAACTTGTATTTCTATAGTTTTCCTAACTGTACTCTACAGCTGTACAGACATGGTACAGACATAATTAACTAAGTAAATAAGATACATATGAAGAAAATACATTAATCTCATTTTTATTCAAGAAAATTACAAATTAAGTAACAAATTTTAATCGTCTTTGATAAACGCAGCATTGATACGCAATTAATGTTCTGGAATTATATTCCAACCTATATCTTGATAACTATATCTCATCTGTACCTGCAGTAGAACTTGGCCACTCCAGACAATGTTCCAGATACAGAAGAGATGAATCGCAACATTGGCAGGATTATTGTGGTAGGACGCATAGAAGATAAACTGGGATCGAAGATCAAAGAATCCTCTGGATTTACTCTGGGTCCCCATATTATCTGAACACAAGACCTAGGAACTAAATTATCATGTTTTTTTCTCACAGTTTAAGGGTTAAGGCTAGTTCCATCGATATAAAAAATATGTTAATAGAATTTCCGAAGCTAATAAACTAAAAACTGGAAAGTCCTTGTTTAAAGGTCTGTAAGCGTAATTTAAAGTGACCTAGTGGTACCCTTAAAAGCTTTTCTGGTCAAATAAGATTAATATATCAACGTTATAACTTTGAAAACTGATTATTCTCCGTAGTACTTTTCAAAAGTGACTTGCGCCTTTATATTGCAAGAATAAGTACAGAAATGATCAGAATTAAGCACGTTTAAACCAAGAAAAACGACAATATCAAAAGAAAAACGATCTTGCACATTATTGATCAGATAAAGGTCTAACTCAGGAATTGTCAGCTTTGCATAGAGGGACAGGGTCACTTGAAATGATGCTTACAGTCCCTTTAAATTCTATTTCTTAACTAATTCTATTAAAGAAGCTGTTTCTTATCTGTCTAGAGAGATTACTAACTATAACTAACTTATTAACTAGGCACTGTTTTCAGTTTAGAAGTGTACACTGAAGAACCTGAATATGTATTCTTTGACCTTCAGTGAAACCCTGAGCTGGGATCATTTCTCGTAAACTTATGGCCGATTTCTTAGACGTTCTACCATAGGTAGAACCATAGTCACACTATGGTTAGTGGTTTCGCTTTTCCAGAGAAGTGTAGATAGATAGATAGGACCTATAGTTTGAGTTTCCAGGTGTTTCATGGCAAAGCACTCTAATTTAAAAATTTAATTTTTACTAAATTGTTTTGTTTCTTGTTTTTTTTTTCGATATTTTAATATTTTGAATTTTGGTTTTTCTCAGATTTTATATTCTATATGCAGTTGCCTGCTTTCTCTCAAGCAGAACGGACTTATCATGTAGTCCCAGAATTAAAGCTGGAGAAGCACTGCGTTTAGATACGCATCTTGTATCCTACAGGGGAAGCAAGAATTGGACTGAAAACAAAACTTCATCTTTAGCTTGGTGCGCTGAAAGAGGAGTTTAACCCCTCGTGGGAATACAAGCTATGCACAATGATACCGGTTTTTTACTCGACCAGATGTGAGGACTGGACTGCCATGGAAGATACCTCTCAAGAGAGCTTTCAGGGATCACAACTCCCCATTTTGCTTAAGGGGTGCAGTTATGGGTGAATTCCTAAATTCCCCTAACTGGGAAACAGTATAAAATGAAGGAACACAGGGAGAAATCCCCTATACCCTTCTTCCTACAAACATCCTTATCTCTCTCCTACCTGCTCCACAACTTGATGTTAAAAGAACTATTTGGAAAGGCCTTAAAGTGTAAAAACAAGAAACAAGAAGCAAGAATAAGAAATAAATTGAACAGAAAAAAGTGGAAGGGAAATCTCTTGACAGTAGAGATGGGTGCTTAAAGCAAGATAAACAAGAAAGAAGAAGAAAACTTTGAACAGGAAAAATTTGAAGGGGATTTGAGCTTTACACTATCTATTTTTTTACTGATAGCAAATAAAGACAAATACACAGGATGGCAGACGTCCCATCCGACCCTCTATGTCCTACTCGAGATAAAAACTGGAAAATGTGTAAAACGCCCCCCTCCCCCCTCTCCCCCCATCAAGAAAATTTTAGAAAGTGTGTTTTAGCTAGGAATGCAGGAGCTGACACAGTAATATGACTGAAGCAAAATTTAAAAACAAACAAGGGAGAGAGTAACCTGGCCACTCTCAGAGTATAGAATATAGATACAGGGCTCCAAAAAATAGTTCTACCTCTGCAACTTGGCTAGCTGCAGAAAACATCCAAAAATTTCTTTTATTTTTATTTTTAAAATTAGCCAAAGTATGATTGAAGGATGGACAAGGAATGGACGATCAAGAAGAAAGAATGAAAAACAAGAAATATAGAAGTATCAAAATGTTTCCATCTGATATCATATTGAAATTTAAAAATATCGTAAAATTTAACTAAAATAAATTATTAAAGTTAAAAAATATATTCCATATGAAGTATGAGACATGTAAAACCTAGGATGGTCATTTTAGGAAAATTTTCGAGAGTTTGAGTATTGAAAGGGTTGTTTAGTAAACCAGATGTGAGCCATAAAGAGCCAGGAGCTGCCGGACATAGCAGTGTTGAATGGGATGTAATGTTCGATCCGATCCTGATCACGTTAGGACTCTGTCCTAGTAACCTACTTTAAGTAATAGTTTGTAATATGAAATATGAAATATGAATTATGAAATATTATTGAGAGGGTTCTTTTTATAACTATCTCAGATTTTGTAAACCCCTCTGATCAAAAAAGTGAAGAAAAAAAAAGGGAATTTTTCTAAGCAAATTATTTCTGAAAAGATTCTTTCTAGATTCCTCAGATTGTCGGTCTTTTAAATATTAGGTTTTTCCCCGTTAGAATTTGATGCCATACTCCATACTCCATACTCCATATTCCATACTTATTTTTTTTCTTTTTTAATTCTGCACGTAATCTCTAACTTAAAAGGACTGTAAGCATAATTTCAATTGACATTCCGGACACCGTTGTCTAATCAAGTATGAATTATATATTAATGTTTATAACACTTGAAATTAATATTGTGTGATTTCTCAACAAAAGTATCTTGCGTATTTCTACTGCAGGAAAACCTATAGGATTTATCATAAATGAACACTTTCAAAGCTAGAAAAATTTGCCAATATCTTCTACAATTAATATTGATCAGATAAAGGTTTCAAGGGTATCGTTGTGAATCGGGCTTTGCCATCTGTGCATAGAGGTCACTTTAATTCCAATTAAAGGGAGATTTCGCATTGAATTATATATGCGCAATGCACGTGCACGTGCTTTGTCAAACCTATGCCTAGAAAACAAAACTTAAAAGGTGTATTGGCTTAAAATGTTGTGGCTCACTATTCTGAACTGTTATTTTAACTTTTTTACAACATAATTCATAAAAATTTGAAAATGACTGAGTGTTGTTCAGTTATGAATCAAGTTGTTTTTCATTAAAAATTGATTAATGAAAGAAGTGTATTATTATCAAGTATTTATAAATATTTTCTTGGCTTTCTAATTTAGCATAAGTCGCAAAAGCCTTTTCATGCGCGCATATCTATATATTTCTATATTTTTATTTTGCTTGTCTGTTAGTGTCCAAAAAACGTCAAAACTGTTTAAACGACCAAGTCCATTTTGTGTTTTGTTTTAACTAACATAAATCCCAGAAAAGTTTTAAGCTCAATCGAAATTTGAAAATTTTGTGTCAACATTTTTTTTATTTTGTCAGAAGTTTTTAAATTAATTTAATTCAAATTAATAAAAACAGAAGATCTTATATATTTCAAACCATGTTAGATCGAATAATCTAAGTTTGAAATGTCAAAGGTTTACACCATCAGTTTGCAAAGATATGGGAATAGCACATTTAAGTTTGTGGCAAAAACTCAATTTCTTTACAGAAATTTGGATTTTTGTAGAAAAAAAAACCTTAAAAGAATGTTTAGATGAATGTAAAAGTTTTAATATGTACTTTTCACATTGTTAGTCTTTCCGAGTCTTTGTTGCAATGTTTCAAAAATAACAAGATCATATATATCCAAAAATAGAACTTATGGTAAATCAGAGGGGAAAACTTTTGAATCCTAAACCTGTGATATCAGGGCCCTGATGATTCATTTCCCTTGAGACGGTTCAACCTCAGACGTTAGACACAACTTTGTGTAGTTTAATCTCGAATTAAAAGTTTTCTTCGAATTCTTAGCTTAAAGATAAACTTATATAGTAATTTGAGTGTGTGTAGGACATATTTACTGTGTTTTATGAACATCTGAATTTTCAAACTAATAAGAATCGTCGTCCTTCGGTCCTATCCGATCAGAAGGCCGTTCCTTTTCAACGAACGTATGGTCGGACAACGTCCGTCCTGAAGATTTACTTTGGGGGACAATAGACGCTTAGATTCCTATCTGATAGATAGATAATTAGAACGGACAGAGTCGGAGACGTCATCTGGTCGACCATTGTAGTGTTGATAATGAATACATGCCTCAGTTCGGAATCAATTTTTCAGGAGGAGAACCTGACGACTTTCAGCTCGCTTTCACAATAAATCAAAATTCAATCTATGTTTCAGTTTTAAACATACTAGGATCATTCTTACGAAGTAGTATCTAGTCCTGATCAATTTGCAGAGCAAATTCTGATTTTGGTCTTTAGTTTAACAGAGAGGGCGTTCCTCTATAGCCTGCAGCCTAACAATAGAAGTTTGAGTGAAGGGTTCCCTCGTCACATAAAATTGATGTCTTAAACCTTTTCCATCGGTGAAAACTAAAACAAATTAAAAAATATATATTTCATGAATTCATGAATAAAAAAAATCTATGAATCACTCAATTCAACATTTAACTCTAGACTTAATAAACTAGACCTTGATATCCTAATCCTTCCCTTACCCTAGTTAGATATTCAGATCTAAACCCTAACTCTAGACCTGAACCTAGATATTCTGATCTAAACCCTAACTCTAGACCTAGACCTAGATATCCTGATCTAACCCCTAACTCTAGACCTAAACCTAGATATTATTATCTAACCCCTAACTCTAGACCTAAACCTAGATATTCTTATCTAAACCCTAACTCTAGAGACCTAAGCCTAGATATTCTGATCTAAATCATAACTCTAGACCTGAACATAGATATCCTGATCCAAACACTAACTCTAGACCTAAACCTAGATATCCTGATATAAACCCTAACTCTAGACCTAAACCTAGATATCCTGATCTAAACCCTAACTCTAGACCTAACCCTAGATATCCTGATCTAAACCCTAACTCTAGACCTAAACCTAGATATCCTGATCTAAACCCTAACTAGATATCCTGATCTGATATAGACCTAGATATTCAGATCTTAGCTCCATATCTGTACCTATACCTATACCTAGATATTTTATCTGGAACCCAATCTAAAGATATCTATATCTGAACATTGTTTAGGATTAATGGAACCAATCTTGTAGTGTTCTACATTTAACCAATTATATCTAGAAAAATGATCATAATTTCCTAATCACATGCCTGGCCAATGATACTACAGGCGTCGACGGTAATTTCTTTTATTGCGCTCAATCAGTATCTTTTTATATATCTATCTATCTAACGTTCTTTCTACTTTTCAATCCTTCATTTTATAATTTTAATTTAATCATTTTTTGACTCGACACATCAAAGAAAGAAATTATTTTGAATTATTTGTTAAAAACTAAATAAATATTATCAGCCCTGGTTAATATCTAATTATCCTCAATATATGAGGTTAGAGAGATCAATGGTACAGATTTAGGTGAAACAACTTCATTATATAAATCCGGTTTTTTTAAGCAGTCGGCACTATAATATCTATACAGTAATAACTACAGAATGATTAGACAATTGTGTTTCAAAAAAGCTCATTTTTGGATTACTTAGATTGCGGATTACTCACTCGACGATAGCTATTTAATTATTTTTTTGGTTTAAAAAATTAGAAATGAAGAAGGAAAAGTAATAGAAGTGAATATGATATTATGGAGTTTTGTTGAAAAGCTTACCCGACTATGCTTAAGTTAATACAATTAAGTTAAGAAGGATTTATATCAATTCTCTTCGATGTATGGGAGGTGCAATTAAGTAAAACTCAAATGGTCTAATCTCTATACGTGTGAAACCTGACCGTGCAAACCTGTGATATTTTAAACTTAGAATATTTTTATCTAAAACAACTCATCGTTTGAAATGTCAAAGGTCTACGACATCGGGTTAATATGATTAAGAGATTAGAAAATCAGAGTTTCCTTTCATTTACTTTATTCTTGAGAAAAAAACGTTTTTAAATGATTTTCAATGTTTTGAATCTTGTTATATAAATTAAAAAAAAATCAAGAAAAAACTATCAATATTTTCCGCATATGTTAGTAACACATGACCCTGTATCGATAAATTGTCATTTTTAGTTTTTCATTTTGTTATATAAGCGAACTAAGCATAAAGAAAAAACTTTTGTTTTTTATGCACAAATATAAAATATCTTAATTTAAAAGTATTGTATTAGTGTATGCAATAAGTTTTCTTTTCAAGTTGATCCTTAATATTTTTCAATATTATTCTTTAAACTATTGTAATTATTATGTATAGGCAAGTTTAACACGTTTTCTGAACGGAGTTACATAATTGTATTAACGTAGGTTTTGTTCTCTCCGTCAAATGGTAATGAATAGAACCTGGAGTTTCTCTCTCTCTTTCTCCGTCCTAGAGTTAATAAAAGAGAACCCGGAGTAAAGTTTTGTTACAGTCATGAGTTGGCTGTCAGAAATCAACATTCAACCGGTAAAAATAAATTTTTTGTTGATTGCATTAAAACCATCCATATTTAGGATAATACTTAGGAAAATATTTTGGTTCTCTTTCTGGTCCTTTTTCAATTTTTTACAATTTCAAAATTCTTTGCGGTATTTCTAGACAAAAAGGATGACATTAATTAAGACTTGTTTGGTTATTACTATATATATATATATATATATATATATGTATAGTAATAATAATGTATATAATATGTGTATATATATATGGTTATTACTATATATATGTACGCGGTATTTAGGATTTCCAATCGGAATTTCGTTGCTTGGAATTGCGCGCTACTGTGCGGAATTGTGCGGAATTGTGCACAACTGTTCTCGTATTGTGTGGAATTGCTCGGAAATTACAGGACCTGCAATTCCGTGCAAGTAAAATCTACTTGTGTGTTTTTGTTTCGTTTTTCGATCGTTTTCAATTACGATCGTTTCGTTTTCGGAAAAAAGCGATCGTTTTTAAAAACGACCCACTCGTTTTGAACTTTTAGAAAACGAATAACGATCGTTTCTGAAAACAATTTACGACCGTTTTTTATACTATTGTTTTTTTAAACGATCGCTTTTTCAAAAACCATCGTTTTTGAAAGAAAACATTTTGTTGACAATTATGTTAAGATCGTTTACGAGGGGTTGTCGTTAAAGATCGTTAACGAAACGACGAACTTTATAAAAACGGTCGTTTTTGGAAAAAGATCGTTTTTGAAAAAAAATACATGCAACTTTATTGAATGTCGTCTTATACGAAGTTAAACAGTTGTGGGAGAGCTAAAACTTCTTATTTTCTTTAAAACTACTCAATGATAAGTTTCCTATCTTCTTCAACTATCGTTAACGAAGGGTCGTCGTTGACGATCGTTAACGAAACGACGAGTTTTATAAAACGATCATTTTTAAAAAACGAACTTTTCATAAAGACGATCGTTTTTAAACACGATCGTTTCGTTTTCGATTTTTCGTCGTCGTTTTCATAACGAAACGATCGTTTTTCAACAAAAAGAAAATTTTAACTTTCCTAAGTGTATGTAGTACTGAATGAAACGTACTTTATTTTTTTTTTAAAAGTCGTAGAACACATGTACTAGAGTATTTAAGCGGAGAGAGCAAAAGTATATAATTCGGTTTATGGGATATCTCATTGGCACTGGAAATGACTGCCTCCTTTGTATTTAAATTAGACAGAGTAAACAAAGATCGAAAACAGATTAAATTAATCTGTCGATTATCAAAAGATCGAGATCCAAATTACAATATACTAAGCAGTAATAAAAAACAAAAGCAATTTTTGCGGATTTTCGAGATTTTTATTGATTAGTCTGAACTTGGAATGATTACAAAATGAATTATATATAATACCTTTTATTTTCAAAGAAAGAGAGCTCAAATCTTATTAATGAACATCGTTGGAAAATAACAAAATAATTAAAAGTACAAATAAAAATAAAAAATGAATGATTTAAACGAAACAAAAATATATTCTTAATTTTCTTTCTAGGTTCTTCATTTAAGCAGAACTACTGTTCTTTTTCTTCTCCTTCTTCAGGATTACATTGGGTTTGGAAACTCGAAAATTGTAGGTAATATTTCATTTGGAAACTTATTTTTCAGGGTAGAAATGCGTTTCGAAACTCTTCGGTTAATGTTTATAATGTGTTTTTATATAAATTTTGAAATGTGATACATATTTGATAGTTTTCTTGGATTCTAAGATAAAGAAAAATGTTGGTAAGGGCATTGATTTTTGTGATTGTTGATTTGAATCTTTGCCACAAACTCTAATTTTCTAATCCCATACATATCTTGGCAACCTAATATCGTAGACCTTAATTATTTCAAACTATGAATTCTATTAGATCAACTATTCTTACTTTGAAATATCAGAGGTTTACACCATCAGGTTGCAAAAATATAGGGATTGAAAACCAAAGTTTGTGACAAAAACTCCTGAGCAGAAGAGAAAAGCAGAGAATACGACATATTTTCCATTATTTTCTGTATACCACTGTATATCATGGAATAAAACACCCAGAAACTGTAAAGATTATTTCCAGGAGTCGGGTGGATTCGACCTGATGGAGTAGTGTCGGTAGGTGGAGTTCTTGAAGTGGATGATGGAGTACTCCAGGCTCTAAATGGAGACCATGATGTACTCCCTGTAATACGAGGAGTAGATGATAACCATCATAGTTTTCACAGACAAAGAAGAGTAAGTCCATCAAATAATAGTTTAGTACCAATTAAAGATACATGTTTACGACATTGAAAACTTATTATTTTCAATTGTGGGTTCTCTGCAAAATTGACTTTTGCATTTCTGTTGCCGTAAAACAATGTAGGAATTATCAGAATTTAACATTTTCAAGCTAGAAAAACGACGTTATCTTCCACATTATTGATCAGAACCTTCTCCTAGGACTGATTAATTTAGTTTGAATATTATCTAGGAGGAGAAACTAACAGCTGTTCCTTCAGTATCCGGGATTGAAGAATCTAGAATGAATATTATCTAGGAGAAGAAACGAACCTAATCCTTCAGTTTCCAGGACTGGAGAATTTAGAATGAATATTATCTAGGAGGGGAAACGAACCTGTTCCTTCAGTATCCAGGACTTAATAATCTAGTCTGAATTCATATAGGAGGAGAAACGAACCTGCTCCTTCAGTATCCAGGACTGAATAATCTAGTATGAATATTATCTAGGAGGAGAAACGAACCTGTTCCTTCAGTATCCAGGACTTAATAATCTAGTCTGAATTCATATAGGAGGAGAAACGAACCTGCTCCTTCAGTATCCAGGACTTAATAATCTAGTCTGAATTCATATAGGAGGAGAAACGAACCTGCTCCTTCAGTATCCAGGACTTAATAATCTAGCATGAATATTATCTAGGAGGATAAACGAACCTGTTCCTTCAGTATCCAGGACTGAATAATCTAGTATGAATATTATCTAGGAGGATAAACGAACCTTTTCCTTCAGTATCCAGGACTGAATAATCTATAGTATGAATATTATCTAGGAGGAGAAACGAACCTGTTCCTTTAATATCCAGGACTGAATAATCTAGTATGAATATTATCTAGGAGGAGAAACGAACCTGTTCCTTCAGTATCCAGGACTGAATAATCTAGTATGAATATTATCTAGGAGGAGAAACGAATCTGTTCCTTCAGTATCCAGGACTGGACTGAGGTTGAAGGATTCTGCACCTTCTATGGAGCTTGCAGGATCAGAAAGAATGATTACATGTATCAGGTGTAATACTTTAATGATCTAAAAAAAAATAATAACGTAACACTGAAAACCACGTTCTCACGCAAAAATCAAGCAGTATTTTTCCAAGTACTCCTTTATACTTCAGCTAAACACAAGCGCGTTGTATTTTTAAAATGTAAATACCTAGGGCTACAAAAAGTAAAAGTAAGTTGGGGTGAGTTGTAAAACCGAAGACCAAGGCGTTGCAATATTTTCAAAAGCGAGGCTGTCTAAAAACTTGATGAATAACATTCAGAGTTGTCTATATTTCAGTATCGATAATCTAACATGACCTTATATTAATTTTTGGAAATTATATAAATATGTACGTGTACATTTAAATATAAGTTATACAATTAAGAACAAAGATTTGATGGCGACAAATCAATTTTTGACTGACGATAAAAGTTAAATTTTATAAATAGGTTTAGAACTTAAGATATTATTATTTTTCCTCTCTTTTTAAATCCAATTTTTGTTTTCAAAAAAGAGTCTTTTTATTAAATAAATGGTTAATATAGCTTTATTATCTTCAATACCTTTTTTATTTAATTTTATAAATGATGGTGAAAAGCAAACAAAAAGATTTGTGGGTCGAAACCAGGGGGGCTGGATATTAACTACCTGTCGGTGTATATTTGCCTGAGTGTACACTAAGGACAGTGGCATTATGTCCTATTCATACAGGACAAACATCAAAAATGCAGTATACGCTTACAGAGTAAAAGTTTATTGGGAGTTTTATGTATCTTGAATTTTACTCAGTTTTCTTAGAACCGTTTATTAACGATGAAATATTTGCTCTGTAAAAGACTGCAATAGTAAGTCTTCCTGTGAACGCCTATCTGCTTAAATGAAAATAAATATTTTCAGAAATTACCCCCGATTACTGTAATATACAGATTGACCTTTGAAAGTTGAGTATATGGCCTGTACAATAAGTAAAGGATTAGCGTACATCATCAAGTCTATATGCTATAACCTCGTTGGTTGAAACTTATATCATATTCTGTACACTTTACAGGGGGNGGGGGGTAAACTGAAAGTTATTATATGTTATTTCTGGAAGTGTTGTTATTTGTAAAAGGGTGGTTATTACTTTTAAACTAATGTCTTTACACTAAAGCAAGGAACTTTATACAGATTTAAAGCATGAGATATGGCGGTTCCTGGTCTTTATATTTCTTGCACACTAAAGTATACAGTGTGCAGGGGGGTGGTGCAACTTCTATATTTATATCCGTCCGTACAAGGGTGGTTGCACCTTTAATATTGATATCTGTATATAGGGAGGATGTGGAGACGATACATCAGGTTCTGTTTGTAAAATGGATGTTCGAGCGAGTAAAATTATCATGGGAAGGTAAGACAGAGATGAAGACTAATGAATGCGGTTCATTTTTTATCGGCAACAATTAGCTTTAATTCCGGATTAACTTCTAAGTGCTTTGGAAGTTATGGATGTCTGCAATACTACTACGAAACAACTTAGTAATCTGTGCTTTAATTTCATATATCACATTTATAAATTTACAACTAAGGTTTTCGATTTTAAAAATTCTTTTTTCTCTTCTTAAACTTGCTGCAGCAAAAAGATTTATCCCCCTGGACTATCTAGGACTGTATTTATCCCCCTGGACTATCCAGAACTGTATTTATCCCCCTGGACTATCTAGGACTGTATTTATCCCCCTGGACTATCCAGGACTGTATTTATCCCCCTGGACTATCCAGGACTGTATTTATCCCCCTGGAGTATCTAGGACTGTATTTATCCCCCTGGACTATATTCGATCGGTTTCTTTAATTTAAATTCAACAATCTTTTAATTTACAGAGTTGTCTAAATATAAATTTTCATTTAAACCGCGTCTGCCGGAAAAAGTGCAAAAAGTTTTATCGGTCAACTGTCAGCCCCAGAAGGGAAATGGCATTTGTGGCGTAAGACTTCAAAGGCGCAAGTCACAAACTCAAATTTTCTAATCCGTATATTTTTTCAACCCAATGTTGTAGACCTTTGATATTTAACACTATTAATTTTGTAAGATATAGGAAAAGTTTGAAATATCACAAATTACACCATCAGGCTGCAAAGATACAGGGATTAGAAAATTTGAGTTAGTGACACAGACTAAACTTCATCAGATCTGAAAATATTAAAACTCTCTAAAAAAAATAATGTCATTTGCCTCAATTTCAATCAATTTCGTAAAACTATTAAATAAACAAAGAAAATTAGAAAAAATCTAAAATTGGAAGACGACTTTTAGACTCAAAAAATTGGAAGACGACTTTTAGACTCAAGTTATGACTTAAAATAGTCCAAAGAACATGTGACACGGCAAATTGGCATTATATAAACAAAACAATAAGGATTAAATAAGTTACTACAAATTATTTGTAACAACATCAAACAGATCTAATTTTACTTTAATATCGTCTTCCACCAGTTTCTGCAGGTTCTCAATGTACATTTTTAGGTGTATGCTCGGAAACTGTGTAGGAGAGAAAAAAATGAAAATGTTACACTCAGAGTGTCCAGACTCCCACTCACTAGGGAATATAAGGTTATTATTATCATTATTAATATTATTTTTATTATCATTATCATTATTATTATTATCATTATTATTATTATTATTATTATTAGTATTATTATTATTATTAGTATTATTATTTTCATATTTTTTATCATAACACTTCATGGAATAAATGCTATCACGTTTTAATAATACGTTGTTGTATACTGTATTATACAGTGGTAGGCGGTTTTATCAATATAATAAAGACGACTTTTGATTTCTTTTTTACTTAAATCAGGCTCTTCAACAGCATTGATACACTTAAACATAGAAGTCAAAAGAAGCTTTCAATTAAAAAAGCTTCTCTTTGATTACTTGTAAACTTGTAATTCGAAAAAATGTTGTTAACAATTAAAACTTAAATGAACTTCATTGTATTGATATTATCGCTTACCACTGTATTTTATCGAGGACTATATCTTTTTCTTTGCAATATCTTAAACGCTCGTTTTCATGAAGACGACATTCAAACATAGCGCAGTTTATCTGGTATGTTTTTTACTTAAACAAGACAATTGCTCGTCAAGTTTGATTTATTAAACTTGTTCAACCATTCTTAACGAACTTTAATTTAACCAGAAAATTATAGAATGTGAAGACGACATCAAAGCAACGCTGAAGTGCATTTGATGTTGTTACAAAACAAATAGCTTTACTAAAATGTTATTAAATCACTTGCTGTGAAATGGGTCTGTTTACACTGCACAATTGCTGTGCCTCATGTTCAATGTTCGTTGGACTGTTTAAAGTCATAAATTGAGTCTAAAAGTCGACTCATATTCCAGAGTTTTCTGGATATCACTGTATATAAAACATTTATGAACAGTTTTTTATTTTAGAATTCTCAAGAAATCGTCCAAGAATTTCAAGCCTGAGAGAAAAAGAAACCCTGGCGATATGAAGTCATCCAAAAATTTTGAGTCATCCAAACTTAAAAGTCATTCGACCATATGAAGTCATTCAAGCAATAGATGACGTCCGCCATGATTTAAAGTCATCCGAATCTTAGTCGATCAAAGATATGAAGTATCCCATGCACTTATGCTATAGTCTATAACACATCACTTTGTACTTGAAAAAACACATTCACAGAAATTAACATAATTAAATGAGAATGATTGGAAATAATGCGATTAGATGAAGTAACAGTATTACAGAAGGTATCAAAATCACTAAAAAGGAACTCATTCAGTACATAATTACACAAAGTAACACAATCATCATAATTACATGTAGTAGCATAATCACACTATTACAATCTTAATCACATAAACTACCACAATTCCAGAAATAACTTATGCATTTGAAATAATTGAATCATTATTTTTTATATTGAGTTCCACAATGACTAAAGAAATGGCACACCACCATTTAATCACATTAACACATTTTGTCACTAAGTTATCAATAAATCTTTATAAAGTAACACAATTACTCGATCATGTAACACAATCACTCGATCATGTAACAAGATCATTTGATCAAGTAACTCAATTACTTGATCAAGTAACACAATTACTTTATCAAGTAACACTATCACCTGAGCGAGTAACACCATCACTTAATCAAGTAACACAATTTCTTGATCAAGTAACACAATCACTTGATCAAGTAACACAATTACTTAATAGAGTAAAACAATTAATTAATCAAGTAACAATCACTTGATGAAGTAACAAAATTACTTGAGCAAGTAACACAATCACTTGATCAAGAAACACAATAACTTGATCAAGAAACACAATCACTTAATCAAGTAACACTATCATTTAATCAAGTAACACAATCATTTAATCAAGAAACACATTCACTTTTTCAAGTAGCACAATTACTTGATTAAGTAACACAATCACTTGATCAAGTAAGACAATCACTTGATTAAGTGAAAAAAATTACTCGACTAAATATAACACAATCACTTAATCAAGTATTACAATCACATAAATCACATGATCAAGCAACACGCCGACTAAATCAAGTAAGATAATCACTTGATCAAGTAACACGATCGCTTGATCAAATAACACAACCGCTTGATCAAGTAAAACAATCACTTGAAAGTAACTATAAATCACTTGATCAACAAAATCACTTGAAAGTAACATAATCACTTGAAAGTAACACAATCACTTGAAAGTAACACACTTAATCAAGTATTACAATCACATAAATCACATGATCAAGCAACACGCCGACTAAATCAAGTAAGATAATCACTTGATCAAGTAACACGATCACTTGAAAGTAACACAATCACTTGAAAGTAACACAATCACTTGAAAGTAACACAATCACTTGAAAGTAACATAATCACTTGAAAGTAACACAAGCACTTGTAGGTAACACAATCACTTGAAAGTAACATAATCACTTGAAAGTAACATAATCACTTGAAAGTAACACAATCACTTGAAAGTAACATAATCACTTGAAAGTAATACAATCACTTGAAAGTAACCCACCAGATCAATTAGAATTAAACGACAAATGAAAACAACTACTTAAATTTACAAAATAAGAAGTAGTTAAAAGATCAATAGGATTTATTTCTAAACCTTAAAAGATTAAAAAGAAAATAATTTCACAATTTTTTTACAATTTTCCGAATATGAATCCTCCTGCTAAAATGATCAATAATATTGTAAAGGAGATCAATGATGATTAAGAAAATAAACATATAACGCTGAGATGATCACTGATCTTCTGAAAATAGATCAATGAGATCTAATGCTAAATCTGAGACTATGAAACATGCATCATACAACATGTTGATCTTTGTAATATAAAAACTAATAATATTTAAACATAAAATAGCAAGTCTCTACTGCCTCTCTCAAAGCCCTGTTACAAACATATTTACACAATATAATCAACAAGAATTTTCCAAAAATTTGAGAAAGAAAATAGCTTTGTTTTGTTACTTTTTAATGAAATTGGCGAACATGTGTTTCATTCAAATTTATTAACAATAACAAATCCGATATTTTTGTTAATAAATTTTTCTAATTTAGTTTTTTGTTTTCAGTAGAAAGGTAGTGATTATAGTAGTTACTTAAGTCCAATGTTTTATTGTCTCTCCCTTGGTCCATGTGAGGGTAGTGATTATAGTAGTCACTTAAGTCCAATGTTTTATTGTCACTCCCTTGGTCCATGTGAAGGTAGTGATTATAGTCGTGTAAAGGCATACACAAGGTGATTAAGCTTCTCTAGGACTCTCTCCGATGTGTTAAAACTGTTAGTCGCAAAATATATTTCAAACCTGAAACAAGGATGATTTAATTACAATGTTCTCCCTTGGACCATGTGAAGGTAGTGATTATAGTCGTCACTTAATTCCAATGTTTTATGGTCACTCCCTTGGACCATGTGAAGGTAGTGATTATAGTCGTCACTTAATTCCAATGTTTTATGGTCACTCCCTTGGTCCATGTAAAGGTAGTGATTATAGTCGACACTTAATTCCAATGTTTTATGGTCACTCCCTTGGTCCATGTGAAGGCAGTGATTTTAGTCGTCACTTAATTCCAATGTTTTATGGTCACTCCCTTGGACCATGTGAAGGTAGTGATTATAGTCGTCACTTAGTTCCAATGTTTTATTGACACTCCATTGGTCCATGTGAAGGTAGTGATTTTAGTCGTCACTTAATTCCAATTTTTTATGGTCACTTCCTAGGTCCATGTGAAGTCTGAGCTCTGAGGTAAAAATAAAAACGTCTTAAAATTATTTTAGTCAAGTATAGAGTGTCTGCACGAAACAGTTTAGATGTACAGGGTTACCCATTTAGAATGAGACTTCAGAGACGACTGTAGTGAGTTTATACAATATGTTTCTTTGTATTCATATCTCCTTGCAACTGAATATTAAAATTATATATTTAACCTTGGATTCGTCATACTTTAAGTGTTTCAGGCCGTCTTTACAGTCTCATCATGTGTGGGTAACCCTGTATGTAAACACCACATGTGTCTAAATCTGAACTAAATTCTTTAAGTCTTCGGTAATAATAATTTTGAAAGCGCATAAAAGGCAGGACATTCTGGAAATATCAGGACTAGAGGTTTATCTATTCTTCAAGTCTATAAATCTTCAAGTCGTAACCATGCACAATGTTTCTCAAAACACCCTTTTTTCTAATGAAGTTTTGTGAAAAGCGAGCGGAGCTTAATCTGGAACTAAAAGCTAGAGCAAAATACTCTAAAACATATTTTATATGACACTTTTTTATTGTTAATATTTCCAGTTATGACAGCTAGTCAACCACTCCTGTATGCCGAGTCCATTAGCACCTCATCCAATCAGGGTTCAATCATGTGTTTGATGTCTATTTTGGACCAATAGAAATATTATAGCGGTAACATCTATCTTTCTATCTATCTCATTATCCAATTAGAGTTATGAATCCTTCAACCGGCGCTATCAGTAAATGGAAATATTTATTTCTACTGAAACTATAGTAAGCTACCCCTAGAAAATTTTAGATTACAAAAATAAGGTGACAGCCGACAGGTTTAGAAACTCAGTTCTTAGGTTAAATAAATAAATAACAGTTTAAATATGAATTAAACACTGTTGACGTCCATCAAAGATAAGAGATATATTAAATCATCGTCAACATACAAGAAATTAAATCTAAATTAATGTGATTTACAAACAATTCGGAGAAATAAACTTTTAAAACAGAGAATTATTGAGAGCTTTGAAACAGTAAAGACCTTCTCATAGAGTAAAAATCTTCTAAACTGAGAGTATTAGACCTTCTCAAAGAGTAAAGACCTTCAAAACTGAGAGTAAATTAGACCTTCTCAGAGAGTAAAAATCTTCAAAACTGAGAGTATATAGACCTTCTCAAAGAGTAATTAGACCTTCAAAACTGAGAGTATTAGACCTTCTCAAAGAGTAAAAATCTTAAAAACTGAGAATATTAGACCTTCTCAGAGAGTAAAGACCTTCAAAACTGAAAATATTAGACCTTCTCAGAGAGTAAAGATTTTCAAAACTGAGAGTAAATTATACCTTCTCATAGAGTAAAAATCTTCAAAACTGAGAGTATATAGACCTTCTCAAAGAGTAAAGACCTTCAAAACTGAGAGTATTAGACCTTCTCAGAGAGTAAACAAAACTGAGAGTATTATACCTTTTCATGAGAGTAAACAAAACTGAGGGTATTAGACCTTTTCATGAGAGTAAACAAAACTGAGAATATTAGACCTTCCCAAAGAGTAAAGACCTTCAAAACTGAGAGTAAATTTTACCGTCTCATAAGAGTAAAGATCTTCAAAATAGATTGAATAAGATCTTCAATTTTCAAAACAACATGAATTGTTTGATCTAACAGAATTCATAGCTTGAAATATCTATGGTCTACGGCATTGGGTTATAGTGATCAGAGTTTGTGGCTAAAAGACTTAAATTCTTTGTCAAATCAATAATTATAATCTATCCTTATTGACAAGCAGTACTTTGGAGACATTGAAAGAATTCATAAAATGTCGTATTCTTAACTTACTGATAATGAAATGCTGCAGATATTTAGTTTTTTAATTTATTAATTATATGGACCTCTTTAAACTGCTTCCGCATATTCATGGCTATTTTTTTATTTTTACTATTAATGAGATTTAGGTATGATAGTATAAACCCATTGAAAAATTGCTAAGACGACATTTTATAAATTCTTTCGATGACTCCGAAGTACTGGGTTTAACTGTACCAAACGCTTTTGGCAAAAAATATAAAAGAAGATTGCTAGTATGCAAGTAAAAATTTGAGAAGAAACTTCAAGGAATATTGCTTAAAATAGATATTAAGTCACTTGTGTAGCTGATATGAATCAACTGTAGCTTATTTTAAATGATGTATAGAATGTTCCAATAAAGATGGCAATTAAAAGACGACTTGAATATATTCACTGATTTCCATAAATTGATAAATTATAAAGAGTGTATCAAAAAAGATTTCCAAGCTTTCAAAAAAAGTTTTTTGTTTTTTAGTCGAGACATAAATTTTCAATATCTTTTTAATTTTGAAGGTGCAAAACATGGTAGACAAACTCTATGTTTTTTTTGAATTTAGTGTTTAAATGAGGATAGTAAACAACTGTTGTGAACGAAATAGTACCAGTTACCATTTAGAACATTTATCTACAGGGTGTCCCATGATATGTTCACATTTTGTCTGTTTATGTAATGACTGCATACGGTTGTACTTAGTAAAACAAGAAAATTGCAGTATACAAACAAAATAAACTTGTCCGTCTTCACTGTTCATCTTGCGGAGACATTATAGACACATCTTTACAACCATTTACCCTTTTCATTGAATAAACTCTTGCAGACATAATAATATTATGTCTTTTGAAATTAGGTATTACACTACTAATTCATAACAAAGACAATATCGAATTCGTCACTGAATTCCCATGTTTTTGGGACACCCTGTATATATATAGGTAGTATGCTGTATAATCTCTCTTTGTTTGTTTGATTGATTGATTGATTGATTGAGAATGTTCTGTTTAAGTTTAAGCTGACTAGGTCAAATTTTATATTTATTTTGTTCCAGGGAAAGGTGTGCTCCCAAAGTAGCGAGGAATAATCTTGAAAATTCCTCTTTTTCTGAGAATTTGACGAAAATGTTTATTTATGTATTTAATCTATCCGATCTTTATTCTCTAGAATCATTTAAAATATTTGTTTACAGTTTGTATATATGATGTTTATGCCGGCTCAACGAAAATAAACAAACTTTGTAATGCCGCGATCTGCACTTCTGATTCACTACCAGGCGACAGATAAAATTAGAAAACGTTTAAAAGTGTGAAGGGACTTTGCAAGGTGAAGAGACTTTGCAAGGTGAAGGGACTTTGCAAGGTGAAGGTGAAGGGACTTTGCAAGGTGAAGGTGAAGGGACTGTGCAAGGTGAAGCTAAAGGGACTTTGCAAGGTGAAGGTGAAGGGAGTTTGTAAAGTGAATGTGAAGGGAATGTGCAAGCTGAAGGTGAAGGGACTTTGCAAGGTGAAGGTGAAGGGACTGTGCAAGGTGAAGGTGAAGGGACTGTGCAAGGTAAAGGTTAAGGAACTGTGCAAGGTGAAGGTGAAGGGGCAATGCAAGGTGAAGGTGAAGGGACTGTGCAAGGTGAAGGTGAAGGGACTATGCAAGGTGAAGGTGAAGGGACTGTGCAAGGTGAAGGTGAAGGGACTGTGAAAGGTGAAGGTGAAGGGACTATGCAAGGTGAAGGTGAAGGGACTGTGCAAGGTGAAGGTGAAGAGACTGTGCAAGGTGAAGGTGAAGGGAGTGTGAAAGGTGAAGGTGAAGGGAGTGGGCAAGGTGAAGGTGAAGGGAGTGGGCAAGGTGAAGGTAAAGGGACTGTGATCATGCAAGCCAAAAAAAAATTCTGAAATCTCTTTTGCTCTAACTTCTTGAAACATTTTGCAGATTTTTCTTCAGAAATATGTTATCCGTCCTCGTTGTTGATTTCTTAAAAATATTTATAAAGGAAAAATATACAAAAAATCCTCCAAAATGTTTTTAAAGAAATTGAGTCTTTGCCACAATCTCTGATTTTCTGATCCTTAATTATTTGCAACCCAACGTCGTAGACCTGAGATATTTAAAACTTTGAATAATGATAGATTAAATAATTTAGGTTTGAAATATCAAAGGTTTACACCATCAGGTTGCTGTGATTTAGGGATTAAAAAACTTTAGTTTGTGGCAAAGACTCAATTCCTTTAATTCACATAATCACTCCAAACTTATTCTCAAAAATATTCAAAACAACCCCCGAATAAAAATTTCAAAATTCTGATTTGTTTTAAAATCTAACTGCGAATATTTTGCAAATATTTCAAAATGAAAGATTTGCAAGAGCTGAAGGATTTCCTAAATATTTACTTGCTCTAGTGTTTAAGGTTAAATCTGCTAGATTTTCCAAACACCTTCCAGTATGCACCAAACACGAAAATACAAGTTTCAAAATTTTAGGTTTGGTTTGGAAGTTTGTCTAACATAGCAGAAGTACTCGGCGTGTCCCGTGGCGATCAGAAATTAATTTTGTTGATTTTTTCTATTTTTATCTTATTCAAACAATACGGTCAATTTAACGGATTTACGCTGTTTTCCTTGCAGATACAGTCGCCGTCGTTTATATCAAAACAATGAGGACGACTTTCGATTTCTACCAAGCTTTTAAACAGCACGGATACACATAAACATGGAATCCAAGAAAAGTCATGTTTTAACTTAAGCCTCAAACAATTGTAACATGGGTTTAAGCCATGAACCATAAAATTTCAGAAAAAAACTTCTACATATTTATCTAAATAACTATTTATTGCATGAAAGAAAAGTGTGGGCTAGAAGCGAGGTGCTAAGCGTCCGTGCTATATAAAAATCCTGTTCATCATGGAATATATGTAGAGTTAATTTACATCATGTCATATAAAGTTCAACATTAAAAATGTTTTATGAAAAAACACTGTGCAGATTTAGCAAACTTAACTATACCAGCCATTTGTCTGCAAATAAACTACGGAAATCTAGAATATTGAATTGAGATAAATAGTTCTAGACATCCTGGTGATTCAGAAATATCTTTATTGCTAATCTTAAAGGGAGTGACCGGCTATGTAAGGTAGTTGAACTGAGTATGCAGTGTTGTGGAAAACTTCTTTTGGATTCATTTGAGACATATTAAACTTTTTAAAGATCTGTAAATCCTGAGTTTGAGTGCAAATTCGACGTTTAAAACTCCTACTTAGGGGGTGGATACGGTTTGAGAATCAGTTTTTTAAAGAAGTTTTCCGCAACTACTTAGTTCAGCTTCCTTACAAAATAATCTCAAAAGTTTTGTCGAATATTTTTGGAAACATTCATTTTCAGAATTAATGCATCATCAGCTCTGAGAAATAATAAATCTTCTCGTGATAATATTTATCCCGGAGCAGGATGTATTCAGCCCCGTTTACTCCGAACCCGTCAGTATATCAGCGGACCCGGAGAAAACTGACCGAAGACGTATTGTTACTTCCTGAAACATCAAGATGCACAAATCAAAAAGTTAGACAAAAATAGGTCGTAAGTATATGGCCTAGAACCTTGATCTGGGAATCATAAGTAAAAGAAAAAGCCATCAACGATAATTTAAAGATTTCCAGTTTAAACAGATGAACAGTTTAAAGATTTCCAGTTTAAACGGATGAACAGTTTAAAGAATTACAGATTAAACGGATGAAATGTTAACTTAAAAGGAGTAAAGAATTAAAGGTTTAAAGAATAAAAGGTTTAATGGATTAAAGGTTTACAGGTTTAAAACAGGATTAAAGGTTTAATGGATTAAAGATTTAAAGGATGAACAGTTTCAAAGATTAAGGATTAAATGTTTAAAGGATGAAAGGTTTAAAGGATTAAAGGTTTAAAGGATTAAAGGTTTAAAGGATTAAAGGTTTAAGGGATTAAAGTTATAAAGGATTAAAGTTATAAAGGATTAAAGGTTTAAAGGATTAAAGGTTTACTGGATTAAAAGTTTACAAGATTAAAGGTTTAAAGGATCTATGAGCTATAAAAAATCTCGTTTATGAACACTTAGGTAATTAAAAGAAAAGTTTAAATATTCTTAAGAATGAATTAGAAAGTGGAGAAAATAATTTGTTTGAAAAAACTAATGGTTTTCCTGAATAGATTCATTCAGTTCCTTAATTAAGACCGAGCTCTAATAATTTATCTAAGAGTATAATAAATTTTCCAATCTTAATTAACATTTTTTTTACATATTTATAATTGTAATTTCAGAAAAAAAGATGAATATCACATACACAGGAAAGAATTTTCAATATTATTAGAATATTATTTTTTCAATTTTATCATTAAAAACTTCATATCTTTCACTAAGGATTAGTATATGCAATAAAGAAATAAAAAATTAAAAGTGAAGTATTGATGGAAGTTTTAAAATCTGCATTTAGTACGTACATGAGTATAAATATTGATAGACAACACTACGAGAGAACTAAAATATCTTGAAAAGAATTGAGTCTTTGCCAAAATTTTCCCTCTTTGCAATCCAATGTTGTAGACATCGGATATTTAAAACTGAATTCTGTTAGATCAAATAATATAAGCTTGAAATATCAAAAGTTTACGCCATCAGGTTACCAAGATATCGGGATTCAAAAATTTGAGACTCAATTAGTTTTCTCATGTATTTAATGATTGATGCCCTAAATATGTCACATTATCTCTCTTGAATTAAAGAGATTGTAAATCTTTAAACCTTCGACAACTCAAGGATAAGAAAGCTAGGTTTACTTTTTATCCGCAGAAGCACTTCCGGTTTTGCAAATGTTGGTAATTTTGTATGCAAGCTGTTTTATTATCGTCGTATATATCAATACAATGAAGACGACTTTCGATTTCAGTTTTGATATTTCTAAGGAAACATAACAGCTTCTCTTTTGTAAACTTGTAATTTGAAAAACTTGTTAGAAATCAAAACTTTAATAGAAAAGTCGTCTTCATTGTATTAATATAAACGCCGACCACTGTATGTACTGAATAAGGTTGATATCTACAATAAAATTTTCAAAAAAAACGAGAAAATTGTTTGGTAAATTCAGACGAATCCGTTCTTCTAACCAATAGGTCTGAAGATATAGATCTGAACTACAATACAACAAGGTGAATAAATCTATAAATATAGTTACATTTTTATTCTTAATGTTATTATGTCTAGTTAACCGATTTTTAGGACGAATCAAATTACTATTAATCGATTGTATTGCCTAAACTATTTTAGAAAATATTGGTTCAGAATTCATCATCCCAGGATCAAGTTCGGTTCCGTTCTTAGTTTAGTTCCTTCCTCGTTCAGTTCCGTTCTTAGTTTAGTTCCGTTCTTAGTTTAGTTCCGTTCTTAGTTCAGTTCCTTCCTCAGTTCTGTTCCGTTCTTATAGTTCGGTTCCGTCCTTAGTTCCGTTCTTATAGTTAGATTCCGTTCTTAGTTCCGTTCATATAGTTCGGTTCCGTCCTTAGTTCCGTTCTTATAGTTAGGTTCCGTCCTTAGTTCCGTTCTTATAGTTAGGTTACGTCCTTAGTTCCGTTCTTATAGTTAGGTTCCGTTCTTAGTTCCGTTCATATAGTTCGGTTCCGTCCTTAGTTCCGTTCTTATAGTTAGGTTCCGTCCTTAGTTCCGTTCTTATAGTTAGGTTCCGTCCTTAGTTCCGTTCTTATAGTTCGGTTCCGTCATTAGTTCCGTTTCTCCCCAAGTTTCATTTCTCCCCTTTAGTTCGGTTTCCCCCTTAGTTCAGGTTCCCTCTTAGTTCGGGTTTCCTTTTAGTTCGGCTCCATCATTAGTTCGGTTCCCCCCTAGTTCGGTTAACACCCAATTTATTCGATTTCGCCCCTAGTTCTGTTCTTGCCCTGTATTACCCAATTTATGTATATATTATATAGGAGTAATGTATCTCTGGTTGAACTATATAAATCCTTCCTACCGGTCATCCTACTCACCTGTCTAACAGCTCTTCTACTCAACCTGGCAATAATGACCGCAATACTCAGCTCTGCCCACCTTCTCAAGTTCCGGTCATCCCGCGGCTATCTACCGACTGTGACCTCGCTGGTTTGTGCAGACACTCTGACCAGCCTTATGCTAGGTATAGATAAAAAAATATACCAACAGTTTTTTATTTCCAAATTTTAATATGAAGCACTGCGATCAACGGAATTGAGTTTTGGCTAGATATCAAATTTTCTTATTCCACATTGATGTTACACAGACTGTATAACCCTTTGAAATTTCAAACTTAAATTATTTGTTCTAACAAAATTCATAGATTATTGAAGGTCTACAAATTTGAGTTGCAAAGATATTGGGATTAGAAAGTCAGAGTTTGTGGCACTGGCGAAGACTCGTTACCGTTTTTTTTCATTCTTGATTGAATTTGTTGATAACAATTCTAGGGCTTCAGCTGTTCTGTGGAAGCTATTTACCTGTTGTTATGAATATAATCCCCCCGCCATGCTTGATGCTTCCATTAGGTAATAATTTTTACACATTTTCTCTCTTCTTTTTTATTTTCAAAACATATAACAAATGTAATTGGCATAACAGTGTTATACGATTAGAGTAAGGAGCTGACATAACAATATTATTGTTATGCAATATCCTATCCTATTAGAAATTGGTATAGCTTGGAGGTGTTATAACAACTGTTATGCATATATTGTTGAAACAAACATTGCTGTTATAGGATGTATACGACTTGGAGCTGTTATAACCACTGTTATGCATATATTGTTTAAACAGACATTGCTGTTATAATAATAATAATGATAATAATATTAAAATTTGCTAGTTTTGACATTTTTTAAAATTTTTAATTATCAACATTAACTAAAAGTTGAAAAATCTCGGTAGGATGGAATTAAATTTTTAGATAATTTTATCGACTATCAAAGAATACTTTTGAGAACATTTAGATAAAACATTTAATTGAAATTAACCTAAATAATTTTTTTATGATTTACCGGGGCCTTACCTTGCACTAAATTTGAAACCATTTGATACAAATCAACGATTTTTTTTATCACAGACTTCGCTTGCTTCTATTTTACAATCAGATTTAATTTTTGACGCAATAACGGTTTCAAACTAACTCTCCTTGTAATTATTGTTATAAATGATTAAGATAATAACAGGACGAATCCTTGGATCCGTCCTAGGAGTTCTATGGATTGTCCCGACCTGTATCCTAGCTGTCCTATTCTTATCAATACCGGACCAACTCTTCCTCTCGTTATACTGCTCCAACTATACTATTCTACAAACCTTCAAATTCAGGTTCGAATATACATATAATAAACTGAATACTCGTTTCAAAATAAAACTTGCTAAATCTTGAAACCTGTTGCAGTAGACCTTCTATATTTTAAGATTTGAATTATGTGACATCCAAACGTCGAGGTTTGAAATATCAACGATTTACATAACTAGGTTTGAAAATTAGAGATTAGAGATCAGTTCCTTTGTGCTCATTTTTGGTTACAGTTTTTTAATCGATTAGTATAATAAACAGGGTAATCTGTAATGTTTTCGAACAAAATTCTTGCCGATTTATAAAATTCTTTAAATTTATATATATGCATCTTACTCATGCTGCCGAAGAGTGTTTAATAATCTGTGTTTTGCTTAGCAGATATATATACATATACATATATCATAATTAAATTGCATTTAAATAAAAAATGAATAATCTTAAAGTTTCTTAAATCTTGATGCAAAAAAGTTAAAAGTTTTTATTGAAACTATTTTTCAAATAAGATTAAGACAAACTGTACAAATTGATTAGAATAAATCTTAACTTTTTCATCAAAGTAAAAGTTAGTTTAGTGTGAGTAAAAAATAATCTTTTTGATGTTTAAAGATAATGTAAGACAACATAGTTAATCCCATTGAGCAAATAATGAATTTACAAACACTATTTGATTTTTTTATTTATTTTATATTTCTTACAGGTCTGCCTTTACTTCGGTGATCTTCATACCGATCATCATTATAAGGAACAACTTTTTAGAAAAATAAAAAATGTTAAAAAAAAGTTTTTTTTTAAATTCACTAATAATATATTATAAAAAAATACCAAAATGCGAAAACATTTTTTAGTGACCTTTCATAGTATTTAAACCATACTTTTTAGGTTTAATTATGAAACAATAAAATTATATTGTTAATTTAAATTTAAAAACAATGTAGGCCGAAGGAGGCCGGCCGGGGAGTATGAAACGGGTGGCTGATAGATGTAATGGGAAAAATTACAGATAAAGAGTTAATTGCTACAATTGCAAAATATAATCTCGACTTGTACAAAACATCTATTTTTCTGCCTGGTTTTCTATCCCCAAATTTTCACCAAAATTACAAGAGTTTTAGTCTAACTTATCATGATTTCTAACTGAAATGTTTTCTAAGGTTAAAAATTTGAACACAACCAAAACTAAACTAAAATCTACCTCTTTAACATTTTTTAAACAACTTAAAAACATTTTGTTACTCTCAGGAGAGAAAATACTGATTTTCTTTTCTAAAGTTGGGTTCCTTGTAGTTTAAACTATGTATATTTCTACTATATTCTCTCCTGCAGATTCAAGATCCGTACAACACAAGGTTAGAAGATAAATCACACAATTCACAACGGTACCATTAAAAGCTTCGTTTGATCAAGTATGATTTTGATATCAATGTTTATATTTTTGAAAACTAATTATTTTCATTTGTGATTTCTCTACAAAAGTGACTTGCGCATTTCTATTATCACATAAAGGTTTCAAGGGTACCGTTGTGAATCAGGCATTGTCATCTTTGCATAGAGGGTCACTTGAAATTACGTTTACACCTTACAGTCCCTTTAAACGCAGTGTGCCAGGAATGAATGCTAGGGAAATCCAAAACAAAAGTTTTACTAGCGGAATAAAAAAAATAGTATTTTTTTTCAATTCCCAGGCAAGTCAGATATGAGACAGAAGCGCGAAACATTAGAATATTTAAACTGGTCCTTCAGGTCACCTTGACACCTTTTAATTCGACAATACCATGGATGAATACCTCTCCCCATACTTAAACCACTAAACTCTTAAATTCTAAATTTTATGGAGTAGACAGTTTCTGAAGTTAAGAGCTGTGCCAAGCAAAAATTACGCCCTCGGGTTTATCTATAGTGCAAAATTTGAAATAAATCCCCCTCAAAACCAGGGGTTAAAACAAAATCAAGACATCCCATTGTGAGAGTTTTTTATTAATGTTATCTAAATAATAATAATTAATAAAAATAAACATTTAATCAGCTTTTTGCTAGGTATAACCCATCACGATGAAAGAGTAAGTTCTGGAGTGAGTAAACAGAATAGAAGGGCTGCTGGGATTACTCTTATGGTTCTACTATCCTGCTCAGGTGAGTAAACAGAATACAAGAGCTGCAGGGATTACTTTCTACTATTCTGCTCATGTGAGTAAACAGAATACAAGAGCTGCAGGGATTACTCTCATGGTTCTACTATCCTGCTCTGGTGAGTTAAACAGTATAGAAGAGCTGCAGGGATTACTCAAATGGTTCTATTATTCTGCTCATGTGAGTAAACAGAATACAAGAGCTGCAGGGATTACTCAAATGGTTCTATTATTCTGCTCATGTGAGTAAACAGAATACAAAAGCTGCAGGGATTACTCTCATGGTTCTACTATCCTACTCATGTGAGTAAACAGAATAGAAGAGCTGCAGGGATTACTCTCATGGTTCTACTATCCTGCTCAGGTGAGTTAAACAGTATAGAAGAGCTGCAGAGATTGCTCTAATGGTTCTACTATCCTGCTCATGTGAGTAAACAGAATACACAAGCTGCAGGGATTACTCTCATGGTTCTACTATTTTGCTCATGTGAGTAAACAGAATACACAAGCTGCAGGGATTACTCTCATGGTTTTACTATCCTGCTCAGGTGAGTAAACAACATACAAGAGCTGCAGAGATTACTCTAATGGTTCTACTATCCTCCTCAGATGAATAAACAGAATACACAAGCTGCAGGGATTACTCTCATGGTTCTACTATCATGCTCATGTGAGTAAACAACATACAAGAGATGCAGAGATTACTCTCATGGTTCTACTATGCTGCTCAAGTGAGTTAAACAGTATAGAAGAGCTGTAGAGATTACTCTAATGGTTCTATTATTCTGCTCATGTGAGTAAACAGAATACAAAAGCTGCAGGGATTACTCTCATGGTTCTACTATCCTGCTCATGTGAGTAAACAGAATACAAGAGCTGCAGGGATTACTCTCATGGTTCTACTATCCTGCTCAGGTGAGTAAACAACATACAAGAGCTGCAGAGATTACTCTAATGGTTCTACTATCCTCCTCAGATGAATAAACAGAATACACAAGCTGCAGGGATTACTCTCATGGTTCTACTATCATGCTCATGTGAGTAAACAACATACAAGAGATGCAGAGATTACTCTCATGGTTCTACTATGCTGCTCGTATAGAAGAGCTGCAGGGATTACTCAAATGGTTCTATTATTCTGCTCATGTGAGTAAACAGAATACAAAAGCTGCAGGGATTACTCTCATGGTTGTACTATCCTGCTCAGGTGAGTAAACAACATACAAGAGCTGCAGAGATTACTCTCATAGTTCCATTTTTCAATTGGTTTGAACCTGATTACAAAGCTGAACTGTCATGAACCTTGCTTTATATATCTTGACCCTATTGTATCGTTATATTAAAAAAGAAACACATTTTATAAGCTTTTATTACAAAATAAGTTATATAGTTTTGAATTTTTCTATTTATCACATCTAATTTTTATAATTCAAGACAGAACTCTGAAATTATCTGGTTCAAAACAAATCATGGTTTTCTTGTGTTGGGGTTGTTTAATGATAAAGTATCCGGGGTATTGTAGGAGCCGGAGCGAGGACTAGAACTAATAAAAGTGCTACTGTTATGGGTAGAATTTGAACCGTTTTCAAAATTTGACCCGCTTTCAGAGGTAAAGTCAACTGGAGTTCCTTCATAAACTTATTAGATTCTGACGATGTTATTTCTTCTTCGTTCGGAGTGAAAAAGGATTGAACCATCCTGAGTATTTTTAAGAAAAAGTTAGAGTTTAGTCCTGCTCTTGCAGCGTAGAACGTATCTACTCCATATCTTGTATTTCCAATGTACGGTTCTCCGACCCTCCAGTCTCCAGGAGCTAAAGCTGAACCTCCATATTCATCCACTAGCTTTAAAGCCTGGACAATACGGAGAGTTTCATCCACACTTCGTCCTAATTATTTATTTATTTTAAAAATTTATTCTAACATATATTTTTCTAAAAAGACCGTAACAGGTATTACCTATGATTGATGAAACCTCTGTGACATGTCGAACAGATCCTGTCTTATCTAATATACAAGTCATAGGTCCTGGATATCCGATCTCTGCTGTTCCTTCCAGCTTAAAGATTAATCCTTTGGCTGTTAAATCAGATACAATGTCGAACCTAAATAAAAAAGTGTATTATACTTAAAGGGACTTCACAAACACTTTTAAACCTAGAAAAACGACAATATCTTCCTTATTATTGATCAGATAATGGTTGAAAGATCACCGTTTTGAATCGGGTATTGCCATCTTTGCATGGAGGGTTACTTGAAATTACGCTTACAGTCTCTTTAAGGATAATAATATTAAAATAAGTATCTTGTACCTTGCCTTTTCCCCTGGGAACACCACAGGAATACTGGCCATCCAGTCTTGAATAGCATTGGTGGTTTCTCTGCATATGCCCAGAAGAACTGCATTCTCGTTCTTGAATGATTCGGCAGCTTTGGAGAACTCGATCAGTTCAAAAGTGGAGATATCGTGGAAGGCTGCAGTAAATGTTAGAAAAACGACATATTTATTGCGATAGTCTTTTATATCAATGCTTCTGACATTTCCTAATGTATCAACAACTTTAGGTATGCTAAAAGATTCTATCTTAGCTTGAAGCATGATTACGTATTAGGTATTACTACTTGAGAAGAAAAAAAATTAAATCTTTGCGATATTTTCAAAACAGACCTCGCGCATTTTCATTAAAAAAATATTTACTTAGCAAACGGCTATTACATTACTATGAACTGCAGAAATGTATGCATAAAATTGTGCACTTTTAGCATTCATTTTCAAGACTGAATTATTTTTTCTAGTTTGTTGGATACCAGTGAGTGTGGCTCATTTACTTATATGCCCTAAAGGTAAAAAATGCATTAAATAAACTTTCAGAGGTAAGATACTAAGATGTTCTTAATGGTAATTAACTTTTGCCTCAAACTCTAATTTTTAAATCCTTATATTTGCAACCTAAAGTCATAGATCTTTGATATTTCAAACTATAAATTCTGATAGATCAGAGGATTAAACCTTCAGGCTGTAAAGATACAGGCAAAAGGGATGGCTCTAGCCTCAACATTGTAGTTTTACTGTATAGGTTGCTATCTGAGCCCACTTGACCTACCCGCCGAGGTTAATTTCTACCTTCACGCAATCTCTAATTTTCTCTTGGTCGCTAAATCTCTTGTCAATCCTATCATATTTGCTCTCAGACAAAGGTGAGCAATAGAACACTTTTCACTTTTACTGAGATAGTAAGGTTATCTGATTCATGCTTGATCATATAAAGGTTTATAGGGTACCGCTGTGAATCTACTATGCCACTCTGTAAATGGAGGCTCTAAACCAGAGGCCGAATTTAAAGAAATTGAGCCGCTGTCCGCCAAAACCCGGTTTAAATTAAGCGCCAGCTTAAATCTTGAAACATTTGATACAATTTTAAGTGGAACCAACTATATTCAAGCCGCAGCTCAAATTCTTTAAATTCGGCATCAGTTCATTGAAAGAGACATTGCTGGCTATTTATATTGCCTTCATGAAATTAAGAAAGCCTTGTATTTGGTGTAAATATTAGTTTTCAGACTTTTTGAAGTAAAAGCAATCAGAGTTTTTGACCAAATATTTGGTTCCTCAAGTATATCCCATATATGTGTATATTGAATAGTCCATGAAAAGAATTTTTATTTCTAGTCAAATCCGCAGTGCTTTAATCCGAATACTACACTGTATCAACCCAGAGGTAAAATGTTAAAATATGATTTACATTAATCTAAAAACTAAATCAATCACTTGAAATTACCCTTACAGTGTCTTTTTACATAATTTATAAAGATAAGTTTGAACCTGATCCTAGGGATTTAAAAAAGATTGGCAAACTCTTTTTACGTCCCCCAAGGGGTCTCAAAAGGTTGCAAGCTCTCATACAAAATCGATAAGAACGTTTCCAATTACTCCTGAATAACCAAAGTTAGTTCTTAAATGTATATGTCAACATGTCAACAAACAAACAAAACTTTTTAAAGCAGTCTTGTTAAAACAAATTCGAAATATAAGGAAGACGATTTTTCCGACTCAAATGCCGACGTTAATTCTCTAAATGTGTGTGTACACAGGAAGCAAGCACACCACATGTGTCAAATCCCCGCTCACCTTAGCTCCCGCTCCACCCGGCAGTCAGCCACATACACTCAAGACATCCACAACTCCACCCTGGCTCCTTTGTGATGATGATTCAGATACAGAACTAAGTGCAGAAGACACTGCTTACACCTAGCTTCCGCGCTCCACAATGTTCCAGAGATCCGGGCGGATATCAGACGTCCTTCCATTATCCTGTATACAGGATAAGTCCGCAATCTCTCTCCCTGAGACTAAGCCTGATTGTAAGTAAGCCTGCCAAATCCTGCCGTCAAGATTGATGATCTGCACCACCATCATGAAGCTCTACAAACTCTTTCCAACCGATATTCGTCTATAGTTTCTTTATTAATTTCTATACCAGCCAATTTAAGCCCCACTCGGGAAAATATTTCATAACCTTTTGTTTTTATAAATAAAGATTAGAAATACCGTTAGATCTCTTTTATTTTATCATATTGACTTTTAAAGTCAACAATAT